AACTATGCAGTATTGGCATAATAGATCAAGACTTTCATCAACATAAAAGGAAAGGAATTACAAGGTACTTGCTGACAGGGAATTGTAGCTTGATAGGGCACTCAGGGGGCAGATACACTAAAAGCATTTTGGCACAGTGAAGTGTATTTCCTGGACAGATGTGTTCCATTCGTGAGGGAAAGGCCTTGCACTTCTCACGAGTTCTAACATGCCTGTTACAAGTAAGCTGAAGCCTTGTGTGTCAGCTACTGTTATCACAGGAAGTTCAATGTTGTCACCCCCTTAAGGGGACATTACTTCAAGAAAACCAGACCAGAATTGTCTTCAGAGAAAAAGGCAGCGATTCCATTTTTTGTTTAGTGTTTTCTTCTCTCAGATTGGCAGTCAGGTCAGATTAAAAGTGGCAATGTTTTGTTTGGTGTGTAAGCTTAAAAAATCCTGGCTTCGTTCTGCTTTTTACAATTTTTCCTTATAAACTCCAAGTGTATTAGTATTATTGACATTTAGAAGGGCTAGCTTACAAAAGTGTTGCTCAGAAAAAATGGGGACATTTTCTCAAAGAGAAGAGGAAGAACCCTTAATAAAATAATTCTTAACATTTCAGTGGAATCATAAAATATCTATATTTTCTGTTGCTGTGCATGAGAAAATCTAATAGGTAGAAGTTGTTATTTTCCACTAATTTTTACACTGCCTATAATTGTTCAGCTCTTCTGGATGCCCCATATTTTCTTTAGAGCTGAATAAGTAGATTCAGAGATTCCCTTAACCTAGAGAGCCCCTTTTCATCATCAAGTCTAATAAGGAGGCCCCAGACATAACTACAGTGTCCCAGACTGCCCTTTTATACTAGACGAAAGGTAAAACAAGCCGATCAAGTAACAAATTACAAATTGATGCAGGCAGTGAGAACAGAAGCCTGGTTTTCTGCCCTGTAACGTCTGCATAAAAGTGGAGAATATGGTTAAAAACATTGGTGGCAGCCAGTTACCGGAATAGCTCGCACTTCCAGGAACAAATGCATTCCTAATGAATTTGTGGACACTGCATTTACCGCAACAACAGCAGGTTTTCTCACACATGCACTCCACAGCACCCGCCTGTGCAGGGTTTATTGACCTTCAGCAAACACTGATGGGAGAGCGGGCTGCCAGAGAGTGAAAGGCAGAGAGCCATCCAAAACATCTTGGAAAGGCCTCTGAGAGAATTTTTTTTAGTGTTTAGAAGACATACTCTTCTTCCTTCTGCCAAAAGTAATTTTTCTGTTAAAGGATTCAAAGAGTGAAAAAAAAAAATTATATGGTTTTCTAATGACATAGTCACGCAATCCCTTCCAAGCCCACAATACCTGCCGAGATTTTGTTTCATTCTAAGGCTACTCTTGTTTCTTGATTGTAGTATAAACATACCTTCTGACTGACTGAGAAAGCCTTTGCTTTTTTCACTGCTCATTTACGCAGTTTTGTAATCTTCATGTGGATTAAACAGTAAGTGTAGCATGAAGAAGTATGTTTCCATAGGACACAACGTTACATAAACATTAAATAGTTTGGACCCTGGAACTAATTGGTCAGAGAATACAGTTTTTGTTGTTGTTGTTGTTGTTGTTGTTTTCACATCTGGCTAAAACTAGAGGAACCAAAGCCATCAAAGTATGTTTTATTTACCTCAAAGTCACTGGCTGACTCACCTTTGGATACGGATGATATGAAGTCATTATGGGCCGGACACAGTGGCTCACACCTGGCGAGATTGCTTGACTCCAGGAGTTCGAGACCAGCTTGGGCAACATAATGCTACCTCATCTATACATTAAAAAAAAAAATAGCTAGGCATGATGTTCATGATTGTAGTCCCAGCTACAGTTACTTGGGAAGCTAAGAGGGGAGGTTCCCTTGAACCCAGGAGGTGATGACGAATGGTGATCAATGCAAGTGAAAGAATATGAAACAGACAAGTGTGAGACTTCTTGGCAACTGATTAAATAATAAGAGACAGATATCTCACAGGAAAATTGTGTAAATGATGTTTTGAGATTCTTTGCATTTCAGAGTATGGAGATACTTAAGAAGTATATGATTCTTTGAAAGATCTCTCCTTTTTAATAGATTTCATTAACACTAAACCATCTCTTTCCAGAAAACTTTGTCTTAATAATCCTCATTTTGGGTGATTACCCCCTTGGGGAGCCTTTGTTGTGTAGTGTGTAAGTAATGCTTTGTCATTTATTTATACTTTATCATTAAAGTACTTTGTCATTTGTTTATACTTGTTTAGGTTTCTTTCTCATGTTTCTTTATATTTCCTTACTAGCAAAATTAGTAAGTAGCCACATTTTGTTGTGAGAGGTTTTTTTTTTCTTTTCTATGATATTTGCTTAACTAATAAGATTAGTTGATATCAGATTGAACATGGCCTTGAATGATAATATAAAGTGTTTGGATTTTATTTATAATTTACCAGGAGAAATTTTTATGAGGTACTTCTAGTTGAGATCCACATCCAAGGTTTCAATTCTATTGACCTGGAGTGAGGTCTGAGCATTGGTATTTCAAAAATATCTCTTTAGATACATCAGTTAGAGTCCCAACAAGTGATTCAAATGAAGAGACTCTCATTAAGGGATTAAATGCAAAAGTGTGAGCAAGGTTAATGCAACAAACCTCGTTTTAAAGAGAAAGTAGACAGAAAATTAGTAACGTCTGAAATCTATTAGGCCTCCTGAGCTAGAGTCAGAGTGAGACAAAACTACTGCCAGAGATGTGATCTCTAAACAGGAAAAAATTGGGGAGAAAATATCCCAACCCCCCTTCTCCCACCCACCTGTCTTTTGTACATGCCTTCCATGGGACAAATCTGAGGAGAAGCCAGTGAGCAAGGGAGCTCAATGGCATACTGTGTAGAAGTTATCCTCCAGGGCCAGGGGCATAGAATAGCACAGAAAGGGAGTAAACATTTATGGGACGGGGCAAATGGAAAATTACAGCATAGCAGGTGACTCTAATGTACAGCTAAGCTGCCAAACTACTTCTATAAATAGTGGCAAGACCAGGAAGCTCTTAGGATCATTTAGTTTGAAACCAGTATGTTAGAGCGGACTTTGCAATTGTCTAGCCTAACACTTGGATTTTTGTACTTGAAACTGAGACCAAAGAGTGATACTACACATTCAGTATCACAAGATTAGAAAAACTCAGATTTCAGGCCAGAATGTTTCCAAGTTATCAAATACACAAAATAGTATGATGAAAATTATAGTTAAGGACAACTAATGTCTTTAATGTCTCTCAAGAGAAAGATACTGGAGGAAAGGACAGAAGTTGGAAAAGTATTGGTAACTTTAGTATTGATGGATTTAGGATCCTAACCTAGAGCAATAACATTTGGAATGGAAAGGAGGAAACATTCTGCAGAGCATGCAAATAGAAATGTATGAGCTTTTGTAAATTACTGTGTAATAAAGTGAATGAAAATGACTCTGGAGTCAAAGATGACTTGTGTAATTGTAGCTCAGAAAAATAGAAAATAGGTGGCAATAGCAATAGAATCAGAACAGGAGTAGAAGCTTTTTTATAGGGAAGAAGAATTCAATATTAGGTAGGCCAACGTAACATAATATATGAGTAGAATAGACCATTGTCAGGTGTTGATATGGGAACCAAAATACATATTTTAGCCAGTAAGAGACTGTTAAAATATATAGCAGTAAATATGTCTTCAGTTTCAAGATATTTGTTAAATTATTGAAATACCTGCTGGTGACTCTTAATGAATAGCAAAGTTTGAGAACCACTGCTATAAATAGTGGTAGGATCAGGAAGCTTGTAGTATCACATATCCGTGTTACATTATAAAACTCATTTACCAAGCAGGGAAGGTTTTAGAGCCATGTTGAAATATTTACTCATTAAGAGAAAAATGTGGGATGCCCCTAATGTTTTTAATCCCTGGTTTATTGGACTGAATGATTTGCATGATAAATCCCGTATTCCAAGAATATTTTATTCTTGAATTTGATATCAGTAAATTGGTAGGCTTCCAAAAAATCCAAATAAGAGTAAATTTCCCTATTTCAGATTATACAATACAAACACATTTTTTTTTCTATTCTATCTTTTGTTGACTACTAAGAAAGGATAATTCAGTGTTACAATATTAATGCGTTGACACAAATTATGTTATAGTTAATTTGGGCTAAGTTCCTGCCTTCTAGATAAAAAGGTTTCTAAGTAAAGATTGTCACTATAAACATTCTTAGATTATTTGGAAAAAAGTGCTAGTATGGATGAAATAGTAATCGTTTTCTTCATGCAGTCTCTGGGTAAATTAATTTATCTGCCATCTCTTCAGCAAAATAGACTTACTTGTTTCTCATCCCTGCTACTTGATTCAAACAAGTGAAGGTAAGTCATTTCTCAGAAGAGGCAGTCATGCTAGACCAATAAAACCACACCTACTACTAACCTGTCTAACTGCTTTTTATAATGCCTCTATCTAACTATATCTCCTCCCCTGCAATTTCATGTGGTGAACATTTCATAAAGATATTTGTTCTCAAAAAGAAGTAACATTTTTAGAAGTTGTTTACTAAATATGGTAGCCCTCTATATTTCTATCCTTATTCTACCACCTCACTTATAGTGCAAGAAATGTGAAAAATGAAGTTCTAAAATTCTGTCTTCAGTAAAATTCTGAATTTTAAGGAATTCACCCAACAGAAAATTAATTTTGAAAAAGCCATTTTATTATGGAATGATGAAAATACTGGTAGGGAAACTAAAGACATTAATTTCAAACAGATCAGATTAAGTGGTGCAAGAATGTTTTCTTTGGACCTTTTAGCATATTTAATTGCAAATTGATAGATATGTCTTTAAGTAAGTTTCTTTAAAAAAAAAAAAAAACTATCCATTGCTTCTTTCTTTCAGTATGAAAATAGTCATATTCTTTATCAGGTTAAAAAAAAATCTAAGTAAAAATTCTCTTTCCCATCTTGCAAGATGGTGGGTGAAAAAGTTGAGAAGCTGGATACTAAAGAGAAGAAACCTGAAGGCAAGAAGGCTGATGCTGGTGGCAAAGTGAAAAAGGGTAACCTCAAGGCTAAAAAGCCCAAGAAGGGGAAGCCCCATTGCAGCTGCAATCCTGTCCTTGTCAGAGGAATTGGCAGGTACTCCCGATCTGCCATGTATTCCAGAAAGGCCATGTACAAGAGGAAGTACTCAGCCACTGAATCCAAGGTTGAAAAGAAAAAGAAGGAGAAGATTCTTGCAACTGTTATAAAACCAGTTGGTGGTGACAAGAACAGCGGTATCCTGGTGGTCAAATTTTGCAAAATGCCTAGGCATTGTCCTACGGAAGAGGTGCCTCGAAAGCTATTGAGCCAGGGCAAAAAAAAAAAAAAAAAAAAAAAAAAAAAAAAAACCTTCAGTCAGAACGTGAGAAAACTGCAAGCCAGCATCACCCCCAGGACCGTTCTGATCATCCACACTGGGCACGACAGGGGCAAAAGGGGGGTTTTCCTGAGGCAGCTGGCTAGGGGCGTGTTACTTGTGACTGGACCTCTGGTCCTCAGTCGAGTTCCTCTACGAAGAACGCACCGGAAATTTGTCATTGCCACCTCAGCCAAAATTGATATCAGCAATGTAAAACTCCCAAAACATCTTACTGATGCTTACTTCAAGAAGAAGCAGCTGCGGATGCCCAGACACCAGGAAGGCGAGATCTTTGACACAGAAAAAGAGAAATACAAGATTACAGAGCAGTGCAAGATTGATCAGAAAGCTGTGGACTCATATTTCATGAAAAATCAAAACTATTCCTCAGCTCCGAGTCTACCTGCAATCTGTTTGCCGTGACAGATGGAATTTATCCTCACAAATTGGTGTTCTAAATGTCCTAAGAATCTAATTAAATAACTGATTACCTTTTTAAAAAGTTGTGATAAGTGATCTAGATATATTAACTCATTTTACTTTGTAAATACACTTTCCGTGTGTAACTCGATTGTATTCAACTACAGTTTTTTGTTGTCGTTATAGTTAAAGGAAACATTAATCTTTCAAGACATATACTTCTATTCAAGTTTGGCAGAACTACTGAATGTATCAAGGTCAAATTGTTAGGAGCTTAGTTCAACCTCTGCTGGGTCCCCAGTCTCTAATTGTAAAACTACTGTTGGCATTTGCAACCCATATAACATCTTGGAATCATGGGAATCAACTCTGAAATGCCAAGAATTGAAGATCAACTTTATTTTTGGAGGGAATTTTATTACGAGTTTTTTGGTAGCTCTGCAAGCTGTGTGAACAGAGGGAAAAATAACCTAAATTACACTAATTCACATTCCACTGTTAACCACATTACTTTGAGACTTTACTCTCAGTTTCACACCTTGTCCTGTTCCCAGATGAAGTTGACTTCTCAAGAAATGCACAAATTTTTCTGGTCTGCCCACTCCTTAAGGGGTAGATCATAAATTAAATCAGGCAGTGTGATATTTCTATTGCCCACTTCTAAAGGTTTCCACAGACTCTTGGAATAAAACACTTTAAGGCACAGTATTTATTCTTGCTTCATGATATTTATATTTGCATGATGCTATAAATATGAGTTCAAATGCATTTTTAAACGAGCTGATGAGTAATGCCACCCAAACATTTACATTTTAGTTTTTAGAAGTAAGATGTCATAGTCTAAGGTGTAAAATCCAAATCTAGTTGGTTGGAGGCAAGAAGTGAAAATGAGTGAGAATTTCTTTTTTCCAGAATGGAAATTCCAAATGACCAAGCCACTCACCAGCTGTGTTCTTCTTTGCAGGTTTTGCTTACAATGCAAGAAAGGCATGTCAATTCAGTGTTTTTTTGATAAATACGTATGTAGTGGTTTGTCAATCATATGATAGCTAGGAAGTTGCCTTATGGTAACTCTGCAGGTCGTTACTGGTGTAGTGAGAGTCCCACGTTCCAGTTAGAATTTTGTTTTGATAGTCTGTCTTCCGTATACTCATTCCTAACTGTTAAACTTGGAAGTCAGTAAGAATTTGAGGGAAGGGGAAGACCATTCGTATGGGCATCATTACTTTTTTTTGTCCGGGACTAATTTTGCCATGGTTTATCTATCTGTTCCCTCGTTCTTCTGCCCCTTCACTCTGCCCAGTGCTTTTGTAAAACATTTTCCTTTTATGGCATGTATTTCAGACAGGTATTATTGTCTTTTGTTGACCAATGGGAAAAGGAAAAGAGGTGACCCAGTCCAATAATTCTTCAAGACAAGACCTGAAAGTTATTCTTATCTCCATTTATATTCCATAGGAAATGACATAGTCATAAGATTCAGACAGTTGAAAGCAATGCTAGGTAAGAGAATATAATTGGATGACCACACAGGGAGGTTATGTACAAAAGGAAATAACAGGGAATAGATCATGTGGGAAATTAGCAACATCTATTACAATAACCATATCCTAACAAGCTAAGCTAAGCTAACATACTACATATATAATATAATTGCACAGTATAGCATACACAGTAGGAGACTGTTGAAGACAATAATTTAAAACAAAAATCAGGTGAAGTGCTGTTAAGAAAATATTGCCCATTTGTATTTGCACCAAACAGAATAATTTTTCTTGGTACATAGCCTTAGAGAACTACTATGTGTGTAAAATAGTGGAAATTTATAAAGTATGTCAGAGAGACACATCTAATTCATATCAAACGTGTCTTATATTTTTGGTTTTCTGAATACAGAAGAAAATGTTTGGTCAGTTAACTGTATATTTGTTTATTTGGAATTTCCCCCCAAAAGGGACAACATATTTTAATACTTTAATGTTCTATGATATCAATTATGCCTTAATAAATCTTATTACTATGATGGGTCCATATAACCCAACTGATCACTGATTGAGCTTTCTCGCAGTAAGAACTCTTTATTGTATTTAAGAATGACAGGTAAATTAAAGGTCCTTAATGGAAGAACTAGGGAAGTGTTGGTTATAAGAATATATTTAGCTGGAATGGAGTACAGTAGTTAGTGGCACTTCATCTTTTCAGTTGTTCATTAATGAGGGCAAGAGGCTTGTGATACTGAAAGAATCAATGGATGAAGGAGCAGCTTTAAAGGCAAAAATTGTATGATTTCAAGCAATGCAAAGCAATAGCACTTATATCCAGTCTCCAAATAGAAAATCTAGTTACAATTTCTCTCTTTTGTCAGTTTTCCCTCAATCTCTAATTTATTATTGAGTCTTGTTGGACTGCCTCCATAAATATCTCGATCATCCCCTGCTCTTCTCTCAATGTTGCTAGTCTATTTTAAATATAGTTTATTGCAACAAGCTGCCTAATTTTCCTGCTGTTCATCATACACTTTTGTATCACACTGCATACTCCTATCATAGTGCATTCCCCAAAGTACGCTTCTATTCATGTTATCCCCCTAGAATCCTTTCATGGCTCTCCATGATTTTAAGGATAGAATAGTGTCCTTAGCAGAGATGGCCCTTCATAATCTGACTTTTGCTATCAATTTAGTTTCACCTGTTGTAGTTTCTACATATGTTCCCTCTAACAATAAAATATTTGTAATTTCCCAGATGTATCCTATAGTTTCATACTTCTAGGCCTTAAAGAACATCATCTCCACTTTGTCTGTTTAGCTTTCTTCAGTTTCATCTTCAGGATTCAGCTCAGGTTTCACTGAAAGAGAAACAAGCAATACAACTTACTCTAGATAATTTTCTACTTCTGGCCGGGTGTGTTGGCTCATGCCTATGATACCAGCACTTTGGGAGGCCCAGGCAGGAAGATCACCTGAGGTCAGAAGTTCAAGACCAGGCTGGTCAATATGGTAAAACCCAGTCTCTGCTAAAAATACAAAAATTAGCTGAGTGCAGTGGAGGGCTTCTGTAATCCCAACTATTCAGGAGGCTGAGGCAGGAGAACTGCTTGAACCTAGGAGGCAGAGGTTTGCAGAGGGCCAAGTCCCGCCATTGCACTCCAGCCTGGGTGGCAGAGTGAGAATAAATAAAAATAAGATGTTCTACTTCTAACATCAAGGTTAAGGGCTCTTGTTCTGGATACTGATTATATTTCAGTCATGTCTCTATCAGACTAGTGGTTGCACTTATCATATTGCATCCCACTAAGTTGTATTATATGCTATAGATCAGTTTAGTCTCTATGTTCCTTGAGAGCATAGACTATGTGTTTTATCTCCATCTTCCTTACACCTAACCTTTTAATAAAAGCTAATAGTTACTCTTTGAGAGGTTGCTCAAGAGAATTAGTTGATAAAGTAAGGATAGAAATGTATGGTGATATTTTTAAACCTTGTACGCAATTTTCTTACATGTAGACAAATCTGTTTAACATTTTCTTCATTAATTAGTGGTATTGAAAAAGTACACTAGAGAGTTTCAAGTTCAGGCACTCTAGACAAGCTGTATATTCACTTTACAAGCCAGTCATCATATTTGCCAACTTAAATAATTCCCTATTTTATCTGAAACAAAACAAAACAAAAAAGACAGAAAAAATTCTACTATTACTCTGTATTTAAATGAACGATGTTGAATGAGAGTGAAACAAAAATGATTCCCTCAGTACACATTCCTACAAGGCATGACAACTGCATTTTGGATTCTGTAGCAGACTGTCAGTGAGTCAGTTAAATGCCAGTGATTCGAAATTAAAAATCGATTTTTAAAAAGTAATTAGTTTATTTTAAATGGACAAATAATAATTGCATATATTCATGGGATACCATGTAATGCCATAATCTATGTATACATTGTAGAAAGATTCCATCAAGCTAATTAACATATCCATTATTTCACCAACTTAGCATTTTTTGTGATGAGAATGTTAAAAATCTATTTTTTCAGCAGTGTTGAAATATATAATACATTATTGTTAACTGTGATGCCCTGAGGTGGAGCAGACCACTAAAATGTGTATCTTCAGTCTAACTGAGACTTTGTGTTCTTTGATCAACGTCTTTTCTTTTTTTCCATGCTTCCCTCTCCCACCAGCCTCAGGTAACCAGCTTTCAACTCTGTTTCTATGAGATTGACTTTTTTAGATTTCCTATCAGTGAGAACATATATTGTTTGTTTTTCAATCCAAGTGGTTGTAAGAATATCCCTCACTCTGTTTTCATATTTGAAAATAAAGTCACATTAGCAATACATTATAGAATTATAAAAATTAGAGAGCTAGACCAAATTCTTTTACAGGGAAATTATCAGAAATTCTCTATTTAGAGAAACTATTTCTAAGTACCAAAGGGCCATTAGGAATAATATTTAATACACTATTGAACTACTATTCTACAAAACACATTATACACCCTCCAGAAAATTACTGTAAGACTCAGCCACTTTGAACTACACCTGCCTCTGATAATTTACTTTTACTGTTCACTCTCTAATTCTGTCTAGAGTTAAAACATGTTCTTATTAGGGTGAACCAAAATTACCAGGTCATCTCAATAAAACTATTGTATCAACTGGTTAAGTAAAATTTCTACGAATTTTATTTTCCTTCTTCGATTTTGTTTATTGGGTAGAACAAATACTTTGTTTTCTTACTAGAAATCATCATTTCTTACTTAAATCATCAGCTGTTTCAGGAAAAAAGATCATTTTGCTGAAAACATTCCACTAAAACTGACTACCAGTTTTCTTTTTGTTGTTATTACTGCTCTTTTCCTTAAGTAACAAATACTTAATGGATATTGGTTATAGAACATTCTTTCCGCTAAAGAGAGTATCTATGGACTAAGAAGTTAGTAGTTTCTAAATTGTATTGCTTTGATTCCTGTTTTTAAAAAAGAAAATAGAATTCCTAAAATA